GGAGCATCGACAATCCACAATTCAAACTCTTTGTTCGCGATCCCTGACAGTCACTTTTAAGGTCACCCTATCGGATTCACAAGCAGCGTGATTTATAATAATTATAAACTCGGGTTTGTGCATAAGCACTTATTAGAACGCACACATTGTAGATTACACACTAGAGATGTAACGATCCACGAATCCGTTGATTCATATTTAGTAAGCACACAATATGTGTATCGGATTGTGTGTGTGAGATTCAATGCTCTTGATTCAGACGTATTGTGTGTAATGGGTCCACATGACTGTTGCAGTCATCAGTGACAACAGCATTCTCGACAAAGTTCAAATAATAATAGAGTCTTGAAACACATTCCCCCAATTCTACAACTCATCGAATCGTTACACCTCTATTAGGTGTGTAGTCGGTATTGCCCTGCAGAAGAGTGACACTTTAAACATGCGTTACAAAAATGGTCTCGTATCCATTTGGTTAGCTTGCAAGCGCAGTAAATTATTCACTTCAAATCAAGTTGTATCCATTTCCGTATTAGAGTGTAAATAGTTTAATGTGCAAATATCTTAAATAACTGCTCTGTATAACTATTTTAAATATTTGAAAACAGTGCAAAATGCCCAATCAAAAAAGTCTTCGTGTGGCCAGATATACAGCCAGTCATTCTACTACGCATCACTGAAGAGCTATTTATACAGTATTTGTATAATTAAAGCAAAACTTCAGTTAATTTAGCAATGACCAGGGGGTATTTTGTATACCACCTATTATTAGGATTGCCATTTTTGTTACTACATCAGAGGAACTCTTAAAGGACTGGCCATCTGGTTTTATTAGTTTGCTTGCTGTTCTTTCTTTTATTTTTGGATACATATTTAACGTATTCTAAAACATAGGGCGCACTCAGACATACACAACTTAGTGAACATATTCGTGCAATAGTCTCTTCAAATTGTCTTTCATTTGACCGTGCACACAACCCGTAGTCCAGGAAACAAAACTCTCTCTCTCTGTCACACACAGATACACATCCCCCAATCAATAAACATGAGTGTGCTTGGCTGTATTCGTGATGCAGTCCGTGCTGGACCTTAATTGGAGCTTGCGAACATGACCTGACCTCGCAAGACCTGCCCCAGGCTGGCAGGCGGGAAGGTTTTGCACAGAGAACTCAACACCACTTCCGTCTCATTTACCGTCTCCTTCTCATTATAAACTGCTAAGACGCAAGGATGCCATCTGCTCCATACGCGCGCGAGCGCGCACACACACACGTGCACGCGTACGCTCACGTGCAATGCGCACCCAGGGGAAACTATAGAGGGGGGGGGGGTGAAGAATTTTTACCCAATTCAATTAATAGGCCTAATTCAATGTAATTAACATAACGAGCTCAATGGGGCGCATTGCACATTATTATTTTTATCCAATTATCATCCATGTTTGACAGGACATAATCTGGGATGAGTGAGCATCTTAACAGAATGTGCCAGCCCTCGATCGACGTTACTAAGATACCGCAGTAAATATGCTCTGATCTCGTGAGGTACAACCACTTGCAACTACTCATCATTGCAGTTCCTTTGTAATTTAATCCCCAGTATTCCTTGCGAGAGACAAGTCACGTCAATGGACTCTAATCTCATTTGATAAGCCTACGTTAATCTCACGATGTATTATTTACCCAACAACTGTTTGACATCATGGCCACATTGGGACACTTGCCAGGGCTCATATCTCACTCCACAAAAATAGACATGAGAAATATAAAATTCAACGATTCGTTGTCATTGAGGCAACAACTAAAAAGCAGGCGTGTGGGTGTGCATATAGAAAGAGCTACTTTGTGTCCAATCTACAACCGTTCCAATGAAGGTGGTTAATGAAAATCGGCACGCACAATGATGGGGGCTGTCAGAATTGAATGCCGTGTATATCAAGCTCGTGGGCCTTACTCTGGGCCCACTGCATGCCCGCATCTATTTTGGGGGGGGACCCTGCCGTGCGCGCACAGAAAAGCGTCCAGAGCAAGCGGGGGAGTGGCTTCGCTGACAGACAACGCTCAAGGCCTGCACACGTGCGCAATTATTTCAAGCTGTGACACCGGCGGTGTGGGGCAGTTTGACCTACTGTCCGTAGGGAATGCTCACACTTGTAGAAAAGATAGGATTGATAATACTATAAATAATGATAAATACATTTGAAAAAAAAATCATTCGGTTACCATTAGCTTCTACCATTCGTAATATTTTAGACAAGTTTTACTTTCGTTGAGCCTCTTCAGCAACATGTAGCTAGTTGAAACTATATAAACTATTTAAAAGACAAGTTTACTCCCTGTGACTCCCATACTTGTGGACTGGTTTTTGAATGCCTTCCTGGAAATTTTGCTGATGCAAAGATTTCTCTTGTTCTAAAAACCCACTCGAGCAGCATTTTGATAATTTCATAGTGCACGGCAACACTGCTAATCGTTGTTCTACAAGTCCATATCACTGGCATACGAGGTCACCAAAATGCTGCAGGGTAAACAAAATAAGCTGTCATTGCATTATACTTTTGTATTTGCGTTTAGTTCGCAGGGGGGCATATAGTAATAGCCATGGTGTTGTGCACGTAATTTATCTGGGACGTGCGATAGTGGCAGGTAAATAGTGAGCTCCACTTCTAATTGCAGGTGGCACAGGGATAACGCTTGTGCCTCAAGCAAGAAAAACCCCGTTTCAATCCCTGACTTGGGTGCCTATCTGTGTGGATTTCTGCCCCTCGGGTCGCCACGTTCATAGCACAGCACGTTAACCGCGACACTACCGCTGCCCACTCAGTAATGTATACACCCCAGCTCCTCCGATTATCACGGTGGGTTACTTCCGGTGCAAAAGAAGTTCAACATAAGTACACAGGGTGGCATAAATGTTTAGAGAACTAGGACATGAATAGGTATGTAATGATTCAAACCCTGACTACTCCACGTTTATGTCATGAAATGTCAGGATTTATGGTAATTTTCTTTAACATTATTTTGTCTCCTTTTATCAACTTGTTTATTGGTTTCTCTTTTTGCCTCCCACAATTTGGTTCACTCCATTTGTAAGCATTGAAAGTTTGTGTATGATCTGCATGAACTTTAAATGGTATATTACAACGCATGCGATTCAGTGCACTTACATTCAGTAAAATAATATATTGTTTTATCCACGAATGGATGTATCCATGCATTGGCGCGTTCCGTTGTACTGAATAAGCACAGATTTGTGTTTTGTTTGACATGCCATTCTTACGTTTTCATGTTTAACTCAGGAAAACATCGCCAAGTCTTAGGCCGATTTCATCAGGAGGGTCCTGCTTGGGATGTTTGGCCAATTCCTCTTTGATACATTTTGAAAGCGGAAAAAAGATTAAAGTAGCTGGAGAAAACCAATGCATATCAGGGGATATAATACTTAAACATCGGCATAAAATATAGCCTGCGCGGGAAGCCACTTGCTGTGATGCTTCCTCTAGGCCTCTCATTGCATTGCAGGTGGTGGCAGGCAACTGGTTCCATCTCTGCAATTCAATAACCCCATCTCTGGAGGCCCATCACCATCGGACTCCACCAATAATGAATCGTACGTTGCACTGCACTATTAAACCAGACAGATAGGTATTTTTAAATAAGGTTAATTCTCATGGATACAATGATTACTAGGTGATCTACAGCAAACTGAGATAAAGATGATCCTATTCGAAGCATTCTTAAAGGTAGTAAATTGTCTTCTCTCTCGGTGTCTGATTTTATTGAGATTTAGAATGCATGTGCCATGTCAGGCACGTGGGAGATCAGTGCAGTTGGGGAGCAAGTACAGTAAACCCTCGCTATGCACGAGCTTTGGTTTCGCGAGTTTCGCATATTCGCGAGTTACTAAATGTTTATTAATTCCCTATTCGTGACCCGCCGGTCTCAAGACTTCGCGAGTGTTCGTAGTGCCTCCAGACCAACGACACCGGAATGTTGTAACATTTGAAACTGCCTGCGAAGATTAGGCACGCCCCATCGGCTGCCCCGCCTTGTCCTTAAGTCTTGCAGTAATCCCACTCTCAACTCGCTATTGTCCATTTTAACTTTATACAGTATGTACTCGCTTGTTAATTACCATTAATAATGGTTCCCAAGCGTCCAATGAAAGAGGAAAGTGTGTCTGCTGAAAAAAGGCAGATGAAAGTGATGAGTTTGAGTGAAAAGGTAAAAGTGTGAGGCTTGATGCTGATGAGAGTGCATCCGCGGCAGGCTGACGTTTGGTATAAATGAGTCGACCGTGAGGTCCATTATTAAAAAGAAAGTGAACGCAATCAAGGAAAGTGTTCATCTTCTTGGTTCTTTCGGTAAAGTCACGTAGAAGGGAAGTAATAAAATAATAAAAATAAAACATAATAAAACAATTCTCACGACGTTTCGGCCACAACGCAAGCAGCCGTCCTCAGGTGAAAACCAGGTCCGTCGAGGCGACAGAGTCTGAATGAAACAGCACACGAGCTTGGAGCATAGTAAACATATAGCAGTGTGATACACATTAGGGTGGGTAGAATAATACATAGTGTTATATTAAAATGGATAAGGCAGCAACTGCAGCAGCAGCAGCGAGTGCAGCAGCAGCAGTAACAGCAGCAGCAGCAACTGCAGCAGCAGCAGAAACTGCAGCAGCAGCAGAAACTGCAGCAGCAGTAACTGCAGCTCCCTTTGATGCTGTTAATCCTGCATAATGCACATGCATATGCAGTACTAATCACATTCCTGCATTTCCCATAAATATGCTAAATTCCTTTTGATATGCAAATTCCTTTGTCAATGCGCCCAGCTTATATATATGCTCCAAGCTCGTGTGCTGTTTCATTCAGACTCTGTCGCCTCGACGGACCTGGTTTTCACCTGAGGACGGCTGCTTGCGTTGTGGCCGAAACGTCGTGAGAATTGTTTTATTATGTTTTATTTTTATTATTTTATTACTTCCCTTCTACGTGACTTTACCGAAAGAACCAAGAAGATGAATCCCTGCAGTCACGAAAGCTTTAAATCGAAAAAGGAAAGTGTTGCGGGCTAACGCTCCCCAGAGTGTGGAAAATTATAACTGTGCGTCATTATCAAATGCCTGCATCTCTTGAGGAGTTTCTGCATTCGCAAATTCTGCATTCACGAGCGTTTTCAAGAACGTAACCCTCGCGGATAGAGAGGATTTACTGTAGTCGTACGGCCCAATGGTCATGTAATCAACGGTCCCATACGGGCTACTGAGGTGGCACAGCATGTGACTTGCCCCGTCCACATGGCTATGTGGCATGTTAACTACATTGGGCCCGATTCATGGACTGGCTGTCGATTTTCAGCCGATATTTGGTGAAAACTTGGCAAGATATCCATCATGGAAAACGGACAAATCACCCTTGCAATGTGATGTGTTTGGACTATTTAATCAAATATGTGAATTTGGCTCTTTGTGATCACTTCAATCCCTCTGGTGTGTTGACGGTGTGTATTAGATGGTTTGCATTAATGCGATGGCGACAATAAAATGCGAGAAAATCATTACAATCGCATCTCAGTTTCTGTTGGTGTTCTCACACACCACGGAGATGCTGGGCACCACCACCCTGTGCCCCTGACTGGGTTTCAGATCGTTCATCTGAATACGCTCATCACCACTGCTGTGGCCTGCCTTGCCGGACAGAAGATTGGCCCCGCCTTCCCCCTCTCCGCCTTCAAAAGCCGCGTTCGTGTACGGGATCGGGCGCAGGATTCTCTGTGGCGACTTCTCTCGACCCTGTGGACACACGGGGCCAGATGGCGGAGGGAGGACGCACATATTAGTCAAGTGACCTGCAAATAACCATGTGTATGCTTCAAGCATCATGTTTTTGTACTGTTTCTTGTGGTAACGTTCTTACCCGCCACTACTTAACATCTGTGAAAAAGAGCTTTATAGCTCATCAGATCCTCCAGTATAAATAAATATTCTAATTCTGATATTAGCCGGGTGCAGAAACAATGCACTTAGTGAAAGTGGCTTCATATAGTGGACGTTATATTGATTGTAGTGGATATTGAAAAGATTCACGGATACCACCAAGTCAGTGTATGGAGGGTACCCACCAAGTAAAATCTGCGAAGAATTAGAAAAGCGCCAGTGTGCTGTACGTTTGGAACATTTGTTCTCGCGCGCTCTCATGAATTGAGTCTATTACGAATGCATGCTGCCCTGTATTTATTTTTTATGACTTACAGATCATCAATACGTTATTGGTGAGTTATTTTTCAAGTTTCATTTTACAAATAACACATCTGAAAACTGCCCGAATTAAACTGGAAAGGTAATAACGATATGAGTCAAGTACTTTCCCTCCCAATAAAACACAATTATTATCAATATGCTTGTGCCAGGTAAATAACAATAATAATAATGTAGACAATATTATAGACAGACAGTATAGGATTATGTTTGGACCTATAATGGTATCCATATCTTTGGTAAAATGGAAAAATTATATTTGAAATTGATGCTTCAGATCTGGCAGATGTGAAATATGCTACCACATTCATGTAGAGACAGTTTATTGCTTTCATACGTGACTTCAATATAGAGGTAAAAATACCTCCTCCCACGAGTCCCATCATACACACACATATTGACAAAGCAAAAGTGCAACAAGCAAACACTCCGAAAACATAAGCGCTCTTCCCTCTGGTTTTGATACTCGGGTTCAGTCAATTCTGTTTAACACCTCGACCTGGCACAGAAGGACACAATTTTGAAGATGAACATTTAAGGCAGTCTAAAATAATGTTGTGCAGGGAGAGTATGGTAATACAAAAAATACAAATGCACTCTAAAGAGCCTCGCAAAAGACGTAATGAATTAATATATTTATAATTGATTCAGTTCTTTATACACAATAAGGAAACATCTGAGGAGGCAACAAAAGACATTATAAGATGATTTAAGAGAACAGGTTAAACTCACTGCCTCATTATGAAAGCACAAGAAGGAGGAGGCGAATGCTTTGGACGATAACTGCGCAAGAGAATGAGTGACATAATTTGAGGACAGCACTTCACAGCTAAATGCCTTGAAAATGCCACGGAACTATTTTTCCAAGCTGACACCGATAGTTTTAAATTTACACATTAATCCTTTCCGATTCCGAACGTGGACTTTATCAGTACCAAGACTTCCACACGGCCATGCGGGAGGATGTGTGGCATAGTTTGGTGCCAGGTATCATAGAGTGCGGTCGTGTTTCTACAGTTCTCTGCGGTGAGTACAATGTCTTTAAAAACTACGGCGCTACACCTCTCTAAATAGATTTAACGTGAACCGTTTGCGCGTATTGAGATTCATCAGTAAACGGGACCCACCATGCAACTTTCAGACGTCTTGGATCGGGTTAACTAATTTTCAATAGCAGACAATGATTATGTATTTTTAAAAGTAAAAACATAACTTATGAAAGGATTTACATTTGCCAACAGCTGCGATTTAGTGTTAATGGAAGTGAAATGCAATTGGGAAGTGAGCCATTTCCAGGGTACCAACATTCCTGCTGATTTTGACACACTTGGTTACGCAGGAAAGGATAGCTTGGGTCAAAATACTTTTTGTGGAGGGGTCCTGCTAAGTTTTTACACGAGGGGGTGACGATTGGTATTTTTCCAAGCTGACACCGATAGTTTTAAATTTACACATTAATCCTTTCCGATTCCGAACGTGGACTTTATCAGTACCAAGACTTCCACACGGCCATGCGGGAGGATGTGTGGCATAGTTTGGTGCCAGGTATCATAGAGTGCGGTCGTGTTTCTACAGTTCTCTGCGGTGAGTACAATGTCTTTAAAAACTACGGCGCTACACCTCTCTAAATAGATTTAACGTGAACCGTTTGCGCGTATTGAGATTCATCAGTAAACGGGACCCACCATGCAACTTTCAGACGTCTTGGATCGGGTTAACTAATTTTCAATAGCAGACAATGTTTATGTATTTTTAAAAGTAAAAACATAACTTATGAAAGGATTTACATTTGCCAACAGCTGCGATTTAGCGTTAATGGAAGTGAAATGCAATTGGGAAGTGAGCCATTTCCAGGGTACCAACATTCCTGCTGATTTTGACACACTTGGTTACGCAGGAAAGGATAGCTTGGGTCAAAATACTTTTTGTGGAGGGGTCCTGCTAAGTTTTTACACGAGGGGGTGACGATTGGTATGTTTAATAATTAACTATTTTGCAAAAAAAATATTAGCAAATTTGGACCATGGCACTGGCTAATGGCCTACTTGGCCTACTTGTCTTTGAATGAAGTCGGGGAAGCTTAAACGTAAACAGTGAAGGAGACGGTGGCGTACATTGTGGATAATACACCCACAGCATTAGCCAGTGTGCCTGCCAAGTTCGTTCAAACCGCGGGTGGACAGACGCGGAGGATATTTACGAAACTTGCCCCCCATTGTTTCAACTGCTGAGATGACAGAATGAACCTGCGACCTCTGGATTGCTCGCCCGGTGCCGTTAATCATTAAACAATGGCAGTGTAATAAAGGACTCTTTCTCAGTGTCGATCTCCGTTGTCCTTTATTTGGGTTCGTGTAAATCTCGCTCACACGGCGTCCTCGCTCAGGCCCGCGTCTCCTCCATCGATCACTCCACAGCCACCCTGCTGCTCCGTTCTGCAGCCTCACTGCTGCTCCGTCCTGCAGCCACACTGCTGCTCCGCTCTGCAGCCACCCTGCTGCTTCGCTCTGCAGCCAGCCTTCCACAGCCCGCTAGCCCTCTGCGCCCTGACACCGATGGCCGACGGTGCCGAGGTCTCCCAACACGTGGCGATCGCGCCACCCTCCCGGTACTGCCCAGCGTGGCCTCCTCCCGTTTCACTCCGTCTCAACTCCCCGATCCCCTTCCGGTTCTTTCCCTAAATCCTCTCCCCAACGTGACCCTAACTCCTCCCTCTCCTCACGTGACCCAGACTCCGCCCCCCTCAATCCTTGCTCGCATTACAGCAGCATCAATACAAAAAATAAACGCGTCGTAAATGCTTATTTTAATGATGTGTTACAGTCATACCTGAGTGCTACCAGTTTCAACGAGTGAGATATTGTCGATGTCGAGCGATGTCTGCAAGGTAAAGAAGACACAATCACGTGACTTTAAGCAGTGCTGCCATCGTCCCAGCTTGTAGCCCACATCTCACTGTGTGAGACACACTGTAGCGCAGCTGTGGTGCCACGACCGCGGAGCCACTCCGCCAGCGCCGCGACTCCCCCCCTACCCCCGCCCTGAACGCACACACGCCACATAAAACCCGCGAGGTATTTTACAACCAAAACAAGACCTTGCGGGGTATATGGAGGTGTGGGCTATCCCAAAAATATTTTATACGTGTGACATGTCCTCACTCGCTAAATTTTTTCATGGTAGGACTATCCACGATGCAACACTTACCTTTGACTAAAGCACTGCTGAATAAACCACTAACACTCAAATTGCACATGTTATCACGTTTTAAATGATTTGAATTGTTTGTACAATGAAACGACAATGTTTGAAGTGGGCGCACTTTGTTTACCGTAATACTTTCAGTGGCTGTAGGGGGGTGCGAAAGTGTCAGCTCAGGCTATGGATTGCACAATGGGAAGGGCCTTAACAAGCATCTACCAGACGCGGAATCATAATTGCTGAGTTCCTTAGGCTGCTGCTATTGGCTGAGCACTATACAGTCGCGAGTCGCGACTATGAGCTTTGTTTCAAACTTCCAATGGCTTTGTTGCCAGGAGGCAATGGCGTTACCATAGAGCCGCTATTGTCTGCTCAGGGCGCAATCTACCAGTGCTAAAACTGTACAGGGGTAACTACCGGTCATATGATGAGGTCGAATGATGGTAAGCCTAACAGTACGCTTACTTACTTATCTACCAGTTATGTGTTACTTATTTAATGGATATTTACTTTTGTTATTTATTTACTGTTTTAAGTTCACTCGTTTCCGGTTAGTTTTTTTTCTTTGTGCACTTTATGATTTGAATGTTAACAATTGATAGTGGAATGTATTATAAATGTAAACTTTGTATTAATATGATGGAATTAAGATGCGGTAATGACGTTAAAGATATGAATGAATGCAGGGTATATGACGATGCGGACTATCTGAAATTTGTTTTACAAAAAACGCTATTTTTGTGTATGCGGGCTATATGCGGGAAAATACGGTAGTGTCCCGGCGGGGAATCACTTGGCACCACGGGTTTTCATCCGAAGGGCCCCGAGGTGGGAAGTCACGCGGTTTCCCAGTGCCAGGAGATTGGCCGATCCCTCCAGGACAAATCACATTGCGGCCCCCATAAATTAGCTGAAAATTGTGTGGGCGCACCAAGGGTCACCGGGCCAGCCGCAATGAGTCATGCACGATATCAGGGAAAGGGCTGGGGAAAAATATTAAGTGAGCACTGCAGATAATGAGGGCGGGGGGATCCTAGAGCCCCTGACCAGGTACATACACCGGGTGTGTATTTTGCCAGCCCGGGATGCCCTCCCAGAATAAACCGGCTGAGTCAGGAATTAATGGGTACGGGCACAGAGACAATGAACCAAAAAAAATACGGAACATAATGCTTTGGGTAACGGCAGAAAAACTTTGAAAAATCTAAAGGTAGGTGCACAATAGGCTGCACAGAATCACGTAATGTAACCCTGGATTTTCGAAATCCTAGGGTATAAAAAGAGGGAACCCGAAACGGTTCAAGACTCTTGTGATCTCCAGCTGCTTGGCGACCCAGACCGACTCCCTGCCTCTTCGAGTCGCTCACAGCATCCGTGAGACGCCAGTGAGTGCCACCACGAGACATGCGTTAGGCAAGGTTCTCTCCCATCTCCATCCCTCCACCTCTCCCCGTGTTCGTGCGATGCCGTGAGAACAGCTACGAGGTACATAACAGGGCGCGTAAGTGTTTGGGGGAATTAGGTAGTGATAGGATAGGCTCTGCTTGCAGAATATTTCCTCCGGGCAGTGCAGGGTTTTGCGCCGTGAATAAACGTTAGCACAGAGTATCGGTGCAGTGTGATTTGTGTGTGTGTGTGGAGCAGCTGTGTTGGCGGACGAGCAGCGAGGGCAGAGCCGCAGCACGAGGGCTCATTAAATTAATCGCCTGCAGGTGCACGCGTGTTCACGCTGCCGCTGTAGCAATAGTCATAGTGCTTGCGCGGGTTAGGAGATAAACCGCCCACAGAAGCGCGCACGTTCGCGCCGCCACTATAGCGCTAGTTGTGGGACGTGCACATATTAAAATACAAGCGCCAGCAGGGACGCGTATTCGCGCAGCCACCCTCGCATTAGTGGTGGTGTACGTGGGCGTGTGTAAAGTAACCCCGAGCGGTGGTAAGCCAGCGCTTTAGTCATGTCTCTCCGAGAAGGCGCTAGCGCAGTAGGACCGATCACCTGATCGGCGGGGGCCCGGCGGGAGCAGAGCAATGCGGTGGAGTAGGGAGTGGAGGAGGGAGTGGAGGGGGCGGATGTCGCGCGCCACCTGCCCGGCGAGGGCGGTGGGGTGGACGCCAGCCCTCACACAGCTCCCAGTCACCATGGTCTGTTATCCTATAACACATGTCTGCCTCATGACTACGTGGCAGTGATCTTTCGCAACTTAATATGGCCTCAAAGTCCATCTAGCGTGGGGAAAGCAGTGTGGGGATGTCATCACTACTTAGGAGGTAAATATTGTCTACTTTGTGTTCTCTGGGGGGAGGAGGTAGCGTGGTGGTTCACATTCTGTGCTACAAATTCCAGTGGTCTTGGTTCAATACCCATAAATATATACCATCAATGGCGATCTGGCCGCTGCTGTGCCTCGTAGGGGTCGGGGTCGGGACGACCCTTCATGACGCCGGAAGTTCGGCGGCCCGCATTAACATGAGGATGGGGGTGCCCGACGGTCGGCTGTGACCTGTTTTTTCAGGTGTGGCCACTTGGGCCACTTTGCAAAGGAGTGCAGGGGCCACCCTCGATTGCCGACTCTGCCTGCTGCTCCGGCTCCTGCTGCTTCTCCGACGGATCACCATCATCCCTCACAGGCGAGTCGGTACACGTCGAACACCTGGCCAAATTTGCCACCTCATGCATCTCATACCACGGGGCACGGTTGTTCAAATCGCGATTCGGGGGCTGACGGGTTGCGTTCGGGGCCGCGTTGGCCTGTTTCCGTGACCCAATGGAAAAAATTGGCACGTCCCGTGGTTGCTGCGGCTGCGAGATCATCAGCGGAACCTGGTTCCATTCATGGGGTGGATGTTTGCGTCTTAGTTGACTTGGGGGCTTCGGCTACGATCATTTCGGACTTGATCTTTCACTTGTTCATCCGGTCTTTACCGCTTGTGTTGCTGCTAACGGGGGTAGCATGGACATCATCGGTTAGGTGGATGCTCATATCGCGATCGGGAAGGTTGCCGTGTCGGGGCCAGTTCTGATCTCCAAGTCCTTGGCCATGTTCTTGGTTCTTTCGGTAAAGTCACGTAGAAGGGAAGTAATAAAATAATAAAAATAAAACATAATAAAATAAAATAATTCTCACGACGTTTCGGCCACAACGCAAGCAGCCGTCTTCAGGTGAAGAATGAGACACTGCCAAGCTAGGAGCTTATATATACGCTGGGTTGGAGGTGCAAGAAGAGCGCCTTAACAAAAAGAATGTGCATATCAAGAGGAATTTAGCATATTCATGGGAAATGCGTAGGAGGTGGGCGGGGGGGGGGGGGTTTCAAAGTCATATTATGCCCATGCATTATGCAGGATCAGCAGCACCAAGGGAGGGTGCAGGGAGTAGCATTAACAAAGGAAAGGAATGTTAATAGTATGTAGCTGCAGTTACTAAACAACCACGTGGAAAACTAAAGTATAAACTACATAAAAAACTAAAGTATAAACTGCATAGCACCATCAGTATACTTACTATACTCTACAATAAGCTGAGTTACTAACAGCAAGTAATACATTACAATTCTACGTCGTAAAAATTATATAATATGCTTCCATCTAAACTTTATTCTCTTACATCACACGAGCATACACCGTATTATATACTGCCATAGATAAACCCAACATTAAATTATATACTGTATTGCTATAAACCACCTTATACATTTTAATATAACACTATGTATTATTCTACCCACCCTAATGTGTATCACACTGCTATATGTTAACTATACAATTACGATACTATATATTACTTGTACATTGTATTAAGCATATAAATGTTATACTATTTGTTATTATACACTGTACCATTGACCGTCGTGTCAATGGGTGAGTCGTGGGGGGAAAACTTGCAGCGGAGCAAATAATCCATTCCCTGCGGAGAATACAATGCCAGTGAGTGGAACGCGGTCTGAAAGTCACCGTAAACGTGAACACAATCAGTTAAGATCCGAAATGGTTTATTACGTCCTTCCAATGATTGCTTCCAATGAGTGGCTCATTGAACTATCAGGTCTCCTTTAAATTGATCAGACCAAACAGTTCTCGTTGAAACCTTCTGCAGTCAGGCCACCAGGATTATACGGCTTGCCAAAGATACATACAGAAGATACACCTCTTCGTCCCATTGTCTCTACTATCAACTCCCCCACCTATAAATTGGCTCGTTTTTTGTCTGAAATTCTATGGCCTTTCACTGGAAAAACCACCTCTGCGGTAATAAACTCTACTGACCTGGTATCGACAATCAAGGGGATTGCCCTGTCCCCAGACGACCTGCTTGTCAGTTTTGATGTGGTTTCTTTATTCACCAAGGTTCCTGTACCTGACACCATCGCAATCATTGAAGACTTGGTTCATCAAGGACTGAATGCTGGGGTACCCCCCCTGGTGAGACACTGCTTAACCAATACATACTTCACCTGGAATGGAACTTTCTACAAGCAAACTGAGGGCACCCCAATGGGCTCCCCCCTATCTCCGGTTGTAGCCAACATTTTCATGGAGAAATTTGAGACTGACGCCATCCAGACTGCCACTCTACGCCCGACCTTATGGAAGAGGTACGTAGACGACACTTTTGTCATCTGGCCACATGGCCGGCCTGCTCTAGACCAATTTCTCGACCACATTAATTCCATACACCCAG